GTAATTAGAACAGAGTACAGGTAATGTCTATTCTCGACCATCAAGGTTTGATAACCACTATCAACCCTTCAATATAAATATTTTAACCATCGCTCCGATTACGCAAGATTGGACCTATGTCTAGTTATATTGATGATCTTTTTTGCCCTCATGTGAAAGAGAAAGATTGGGAAAAAAGTACAGAGAAGTGACAGTGAGTAGAACTAAGACAAGAAAAGATTAGTTGAGTCGCCTTCTTTTTGCAAGTGGCTCAACACCCCTCTATCCTCGAGGCTATTAATTAATTGTTGGGGAGATTTTCAATTCGTATGAAAGTGCATGAAGAAGAGGTTCGAAGGTCGATGTCACCAGAAGACGACGGCTGAATCCTGTTGTATTGCAGCTTTAATACGACGTTCAGGTTGACGCGGTCCACGAGACAGCCACCCTCGCTTCGGGTGAAAACGAGCTGAGTTTTCGTCCATCATATGATGGACATCATTAGAGCTGGAACTCATTCGTGTAAAAGTCTCACGTCAACAGTAGATCAATGTTATCTCAGGAGATTTATCGAAACCTAGTTACTCTTTGTATGTATTTATTAAACACAAGTCATTTTACTCAACTTCTTTCGGGTATTTCCTACATTTAGTGTATTCCCTATTCGGTTTATTTCGAAAGCTTGTCTAATTTTATGCTCAGCCACAGACATACCCTAATCGGAAAGACGAAAAGCATGAAACTATTCAATCTCGTTTCCAGTTTCTGCGCTAACATTCTCTACAAAAATAGGCATAACTGAAGAAAGTGTCATAGTTACCCTGAATGCCGTTTTTATTTACCATTTCCTTACTAGTTCGCCTAGCTTTTTAAAGAGATTGTAGGAAGGAAAAGATAAACATGGGAAAAGTTCTCCTTATCTCTTCTTACGTGTCCACCATTCAAAAAGGTATCCTGTATCAATCTAATGATATATACAATCAGACCTAAGAGATAATTATTCTCAAGAAATATTGGTTTGAGCCGATCCAGTTCATTACCGCAATGGTCTCTATCGGCTAGTCCTATGCTCCGCATAATACTAGATTTACAACTAGTATTTCGCATTTTGGTTCAGATCAGTCGCTCTTCTCTACTTTTGGGTTCACTTTTCCTCCCAAATAATAAGGCAAAAAAGATCATCAACATAAACAGATGTGTGTCCGATCTTGCGCAATCGGAGTGATATATATATATATATATATATATATATATATATATATATA